GTGCGTAGTTCATGACCTGATATTTCAACGTAAATTATCGAGAAGGCCCCTTCCGATAACCTTTGTCTAATTTGTAAGTCACGCAAGCGCGCAAGCGTTACGACCGATCACTTTTACGCAACGTTTTAGGACAACTCGGCATCTATTCTCCATTCAGTTGCTATGAAAACCTAAAATCCTCAACGAGAAGATAAACGAAAGAAGTTTGAACGGTCAAAAGGAGATCTTGGTCAATTTTCAGAATCATGCAAATGATCTTTGACACGCGATTGTTTTTAAGAAGTTGGTGGATGGAAGCTAGAGATATACCCGCGGATTTGAGGCAATCCGTGACCTCATTGGTGTATAAACTATGGACTGATATGCTTTTTCAGCCCGATTAACGCCTACATTTTGAGAATTCTTTCGTACAAAGTAGTGAATTTTTGATATGCAAATTAAGGTCGAAGAGAAGGGTCTCCTCTGATCACGCTGGTATGAAAAATATTTCAGCTGAAGTTTCCATATTTTGTCTGTGAACTAACTGAATACATCTTGTAACTTGTAGAAAGATAGAATTCCGTGAGCTACGTTGTTGCAGTCGCTGCGCGCTGGACAAAATCTTTGAAATTTACACTTTCGATCGCTATCCACAGGGGTGGTCTGGCCAAAAAACACTTTTGACTTGTGGCGAGGCAAAAAAAGGACAATTGGAGAATAACTAAACTATTTTTGAAACATGTGTCCTTACCCCTTTTCACGGGCAGAAAATAAAAGAAAACCTTTTTTCCAACGGGAAGTCGAGAGGACTGCTCTTAGCGAGAGCGGCACTTAAAACCGTCAGAGTTTGTCTTGCATAAGATAACAACAAAATCTGTGCCAGGAAATAATGTCAATCAGTTACTGAGAATTAGCTGAGTCGCATTTTTTTTCTGTTCCATCAAAAATTAAACCAATGAGCCAGATCATAAGTACGACATCGGAATCGAGTGTGACACTCACTTGCCTATCTTGGCTCAGAAGATCTTCTGGAGAGGTATTTACTTCGCACCAGGAAACTCCTCCGAGAGGCACGGAAACTCGTCATTGGAGCACGTGGACATAGAAAATGCTTTCGACGGAATAAAAGCAAAGAAAGAGGCCCCTGACTTGCTTGGCATTTCTATAAGGGATGGCGCCTATGGAGTGCAGGTGCAAGAACTTGCTAAACCTATGGCAATTGTCGACTCCACAATCCTGAGTCCAAGAATGATGGGTGTAAACATCGAGAACTCATTTGGCAATGTTATTATGCACAATGCCACCATAGAAAATACAAGGTTTGGAGAAGGACTCGTTTACACGCGTACAGCGGTAGATCTATGTTCCGTCTTTCCGCAGAAGATTTCCTTCCCATTGCTTGTGAATGTAGTTGCAATAGCCTCGATGACTAGATGCAGCCAGGTAAGAACTGAAACGTGGGATTCATATGGATTTAGCAGTTAAAAGAATTCCTTTTCAAATATTCAGGGATTTTTCTATTCGTTGGATATATTGTGTCAATTAGCATGTTCGATCTGCTTCTCGCGTGTACATTACATCTGCCTTTCCTCTTGTGAAACTTGATACAGTTTGTATAACAACCGGTACAGGCTTAAAAGTAAACCTAACTTGCTACTTGGGTGACAATCTGATGCTGGCATCCAATCTTTGCTGTAATTATCTGATCTGAATGGCACAAACTGTTTTCAATTAGTTCAACAGGTAACGATGTAATGATTCCCTTGTATTCTTCATTTGGAAAACCAATTTTTCGTGATATATTTAATATTCTCCTTGATTTCAACTCATTGTTCCAATCACGTACCACAGCCTGAACACTTTATGAACTAAAGCAAACTTGCTAAGGGATAAAGAATACGAACCTTTATTATTCTCCAACTCTCCCTATCCATTTGGTGCAGCATGTAGTCAGCTTGAAGAGTGAATTCCGAGTCCTCCCGTGGCCCCGCGGAGGCCTTAGATTATTTTTCGTTCTAAGTTTTAGTCAGATATTTCCATAGAAAAATGCTGGTTGTCTTATCATAATATCAAAAAATCTCTTATGATTTGATTCGGAAATTTTGATTGCTTTTTACCATAAACTTCATCAAACTTCAGATTCTCAAAGCGTCACCTGGAAAAAGACTCACCGTGCATTTTACGCAGATCAAAGGATATGGATTTGAGCTCGATATTGTCGATGGAAACGCGAAAAACAAAACTCTAATCAGCAGAATTACACGTACCCACAGAGGAAAGACAATAACAATTAGTTCTAGTTCTGTGACGGAATTTATTTTTTTTTCCGAATATGGCCTTTGGTTGGGAGGTGACTTGAAGATGATCGTCGTCGAGGATCCAGGTAACGTTTTTTTTTTTTTAAATATAGATAAAATCGCGCGTTTGGTCATCTGGCTTAATATTGGGGAAATAAAGTATTATCAACTGAGTTGATAACGTAAAGTAGCCGCCGTTCAGAGTTTCAAGGTTGCTGTTTCGAGCGTTAACCCTTCGCCAGCTCTTCGCCCTGCGAAGGACTAACGCTCGAAACGTCAGCTTTTAAACTCTTTACGGTGGCCAGTTTGCGTTATTAACTCAGGTAATATTACTGTAAAGTTTCGGTGGATCAATTGGCTGGACTTTCAACTTGAAATCTCCGTGATAAATGCTGTTTGCTGGGTCGTGTTCATAGCACGTATTTTACAACATTGTTTCTGTAAATTGTCAATAACTCCCGAACTCCAAAGTCGCAGATTTGAGGTGACCAATTAAATTTTGTGACAAGTGACGTCGGAATTTCATTTGCTGGGCTAGCTATCAAATAAGATTAACACCCCACACCTTATTATATCTTCATCTCTATAGCCTAAAATAGTTTTGGAATGATTCAAAAAGGTGGAAAGGGGACAAACGTTTCCCTTCTTCCAGCTCCTCAAAAGGGGGAAAAAAAGGGGGGGCAGTCAAATAAGGCGTTAGAAGTAAGTGACTTTTTTTCATTTGTTTACAGTTCAGGAGCCATCAATTTTGATCTCAAATTGTAAAATTTCCAACAATTCTCAGTCTGGGATTGAACTTAACGATGCTATTGGCCCTTCTAAAATTTCTCATACGGCGGTTAAAGGAAACGGTGTCGGTCTACAAGTGAAAAACTCACGAGGTAGACTCCATGTTGTGTCATCGGTGTTTGAAGCTAACGAAAACGACGGTGTGGAAATGAATACTATGAAAGGACCTGCAGAATTTGAATCTGTCAATTCATCAAAAAACCAAGCATCAGGAATTGCAATTAATATAGGAACATTTTCATTCCAAATGACCGAGAGCCGCACAGAAGATAATTCAAACCAGGGGTTGTTCATCACAAACCAACTTAACTCCACCATCAATATTTCCAACACACATCTCAGTCGAAACAAAGGGGGTCACGGAATTTATATGAGGGACTTCAGTGAAGATTGCCAGATACAACTTTCAAATATATGGTCGCTTGAGAATGGGTGGCATGGGGCTTGGTTTCAGAGCGTAACTGCCAGTAGTTTTGAGGTGACTTCTTCTTTGCTTGACCGAAATTCACGTAGCGGAATGTATCTTGAAAAATTAACCACCGAAAGGCTAAATTTGAAGAACGTTTCTACATCTAAGAACTACAACTATGGTTTGATTATCGAGCGAGGGGTTACAAGTGCCATCATAGACTCTTGGTATTCGATTGGTAACCAATATGATGGCCTAAACTTAAAAAGACAAGAGGGGAAAGTGTCTGTGAAACACTGCGTTGTTCATTCAAACAAGAAAAACGGTCTTTTGTTCACTGATGGCGCCAATGCTCGATTGCAATCAGTTCAGCTCAAAAACTGTCACGTTTCGGAGAACGGTGAATACGGTTTCTGGTTTGATATTAACACAGCATTTTCTAATTACCAAGACAACTATACTATAACTGTGTCAAACTCCATAATTTCCAATAATACTCTGGGTGGTTGCAGGTTAAGTCCAATGTCTTGCTACTGGAAAGTATTTTCGCTTCACAGACGCGTTGAACTTGTATTTGACGGCAATGTAGTGAGAGAAAATCAGAAATTCGGTTTACTCGTAGATGGTCCAGAATGGTACGAGGCAAAAGCAGTGTTGGCAAATAATACATTTGAAGAAAACATTGGGTTTGCCATAAAGATTGCGTACAAGAATTTTTCCTATTCGGTTTGCAAGGTCTTTAACAGCTTTCCGGTGCGAGTACAAATTCTGGCGAACATTTTTAGAAAGAACAAAGGAGAGTATACTTGTCTTATAGATTACAATACTCTACCGACAAAACGGCAAGTTATCATTAACAACAACTGGTTTTTGGAGAATCAAGAAATCAAATCGTTTTCCAGCAGTGGCATTCGTACTGAAACTCAAGCTGTTATAGCTGTAACAGAAGGAAATATAACTGTCGAGCATAATTCATTTGACAATCCTTTGTTTCCCCATGATTTTGCCATCTTTTTCAAAGATAAGGATCGTGTAATTCTAGCCAGAGAAAACTGGTGGGGCACAAGAGATGAATGCAAGGTAAAAGAAAGAATTTTTGACTTCGAGGATCGAGTGGAGCTTCCAAGGATTCAATACTATCCCTTCCTGCTATCTCGCAACTCTACCGGTGCTTACGTGCATAGTGGCTTAAGACCATCTTGTTTCGTTCGTGGCAATAAGATTGCTGGAATATTAGATGAAACAGTCAGTATAAAAAACGATTTTTCCCCCTATCAAGTTATCGGAGATGTCATTGTACAGCCGAGAGGCGTGCTCACCATTGAACACGGAGTAACCATTGAGTTTCCATTGAAAGGACTTTTCCTCGTTCACGGCCAGATTATTATAAGGGGTAGCAGCAAAGAAAGGGTTAAATTTATCCCAAAGACTCCTTCAGCTGAGAAATTGAGACTTGTCGAAGGGCCTAGTCCATGGGAAGGAAAAGTTGAAATATGGTTTAATAACACATGGTTACCAGTTTGTATGCGTAGCTATCAATATGAGTACAAAATAGCGTGCAGGCAATTGGGATACGAATGGATGAAATCTTACCATAATAACACAAATGGAAAAGATAACATGTTTCTTCATAATTTTCGATGTGATGCAGATCAAAGTGACAACATCACAGATTGCAACAAGAAAAACTGGACTTCGTCATCATCATGCACGGCAAATGTTCTGTATGTCAGCTGCAAAACTCCTTACTGGGCTGGAATACATCTCGCAGTAACGTCCAAGAAAAGCTTCCTCAGCAATGTTGACATACAATATGCCGGGTTTGCCTACAGAGAGGACCTTAAAATCCCTGGTATTGCTTTTAGAATCGATCTTAGTCGTCACAACATCAGTGGGGTGTCTGTAAGAAATTCTGCCGGCATTGGTGTTCAAATGATGTATACAGATCCATTTAAAACTTCACATGATATAATGAATTCGACAGTAACGAAGACTGAACTGGATGGAATTCGTTTGGAAACTTCATTTGTGAACCTCATGAGAGTTAATGTCATAAACACAAAGGGATACGGATTCTTATATCATTTCAACTGGAATTCCCTCAATAAACACGTTCTCACAATAGCTGACGAAACTGTAAAGAAAATTTTTCAAATGTGCTCTGAAAATGAGACTTTTATTGATGACTCCAGCGTAGTTTATTACCTAGTTCTGACGGCAAGGAGCAGTGTAGCTTGCCAGAGGATCATTACAGTTTCACAGAAATACACAATTGGTTTGCAGTTAATCCATCATGACGTAAACTCAAGTGCGCCTTTCCACATCTATAGCACACGAAATAAGACATCGAGCAAACTCTGGGATATAGAGTCCATAAGGTGGTCAAACCGTCCCATTTGGGTGACTCACAACAGCTCAATCCTTCTGGAAAATTCTTACCATCAAAACGATTACGTCAGCTCGATTCATCTTCTTCTGTTTCTCATCAAAGGTGGGTTTTACATTCAACACTTGCTCACTTCTACGTAGCATTTTAGTATATTTTCTTTTGTTTGTTTGATTTACACACAACGCAAACCGACGGCCTAGTATACCTGAATGTAATGACTGATCAAAGTTTCAAGGATACATCTCTCTGCACCCGGAGAGCTAAAGAAAAAGCCATTTACCTCAATCTGTATAGAGGATTCACAGTAAATCTAAGTTCGATAGATGAAGAGAAAAAGAAGTATGTTTAAGTTCAGTTGTTTTTGGTTTTAAGGCAGGCAAAAATTGCACAAGACACGAAAGCACGCCGCCATATGGTCCTCCAGAGAGAAACAGCAACAAAATGAAAATTTGGCATCAAACTTGATTTGACTCACACGAATCAAAAGCTTGATATTGCCTTAGTTGTGACGAGAAGTGATAGAAATTTAACAAGAGAACCAGTCGTCCTAATAGTAAACATAAATTTCTTTCGGCAGATCGACTATTCTTGTTATTTCTAAGTATCAATGTTGTTTAATTTTGTCCCTTCTTTCTTTAAGTTACGCATGGTGAACAAACGACATTGAAATCAGCAAACCTAATCATCACTGAGAGTATTTTCAGCCACAGCGCTCCTGGTGGCATCTATTTTGGAGGCGAAGACTCAGGAAACATTCACATCGAAAATTCAGCGGTTCGATATTCACCAGGAATCGGCCTAGAAACCGCATTCTCGCGTTTTAACAGTCTAACCGTATTTAATTGTGAATTCATGACACATCAGATTGGAATCAAACTCGGGGGTATTCAAGAATGGTGGGTTATTCCAAAACCAGGGTTTCCAGGCAACGTCAATATTGAAAACAGTAAGGTTTCAAACTCAACGCAGAATGCTATACATGTGGATTCGGGTATTCTGAATTCGTTTCATATCAAAAACAGCAGTATCACCCACAACGACGGTTGTGGACTTTACCTGGGTGGCCACTACACAAAAATGAAACTTTTTGCGGCTGAAACCCGTTTTGCATGGAACCTGGGTAGGTCTGTGTGCTCACGAAATCGTGAATGTTACTATCCTTGTATTTCACGAACTGTATTCAAGAAATGCTCGTTCCTGAACAACCTTGGTCCTGTAGTAAATATTGACGGATCTCCATGGGAATTCGAAAGTAACGTTTTCGTTAATAACACCAAAGCTCCTGTCATTGTGACCTCACAAATACGATATTATGTCCACACACGCGAAGTCACTGTGAGAAAAAATTACTTCTTATTTAATCTTTGTGAGGAGAAGGGCGTGATATATATTACAGGATACTCAAAGAAAATGTGGATTGAGGGAAACGTCTTTAGAGAAAACAATGGACGGTCCGTTTTCATAGGGGAAATGTTTACCTCGAATGCTACTATAAGAAGGAACGTCTTTAAATATAATCGGTGCTCGAACTCTGGAGTTATTGAGGTGAGAAGAATGGAGACAGACATCGAGATTTTTGGCAATGTTTTTCAGTTTAATCAGGGACTGTTTATAGTTCGTCTTTATTTTGAATATGCCATTCGAAAAAGATTGTTGCCAGTACAAAACAAGGTAAATTTCTCTAGAAACTCGCTTTCTAACAACTCGGAGGTGTCATCTCGATCACCACCTTGTGAAGTAAGCATATCAGGACTTACGGATCATAAAGCTATTTCCATAAACTACAATATCTTCAACAGCAAACTCTTCTCAAAAGAACTTTGTGTGAATACACATGCATCTTCACACAAAAGTATGCTGGCAGTGCCGCTAAACTTTTGGGGTCATGAAGATGAGGTCAAAATCAAGCAGAGAATATTGGACGCTGAAGACAATTACGAACACACCTTAGCCGGTTTTCTTCCATTCCTTAACAGTGCAGGGAACGTGGTGCAAAATTCGAGCACCAGCGGCACACTGGATGTACCTGCCGTAAAGTACTTGGGAGGACGTATCTCATATAGCGTTCAACTGAAGAAAAACCGGAGCCCTTTCATAGTGGTGTCAGATATCACTGTTTTGCCAAATAGTTCACTTATAGTTGACCCAGGCGTTGAATTACAGTTTAAGCCGGGTGTTGGTATGTTGGTTCTGGGTTCGCTCTTTGTGCGCGGAGCAAAGGATAAACCAGTAATATTTTCTGGATGGAAAGAGAACCAAACTGAAAAGTCATTACCGGTACGTTTAGTTGGCGGTAAGTTTCCCTGGCAAGGTCGGGCAGAGATACTTCACCAAGGAAATTGGACCTCAGTTTGCTTGAACAAGACAGCATCATTTGGAGCGAACAACGCAAAAGTGATCTGTGAACATCTAGGCTATCAAACATCATCGTCTATGAGTTTTTCCCATGAAAACTGTACCAGCGTTTGGACATCATGTGCAGTTTTAAATTGTAATGGTAGTGAAGCAGATGTCAAAGAATGTTCTTTATCTTTTCATGATCTCACTTGCAACTCTTCCAATCATGTTCTTTTGAACTGCAGTGAGGGAAAGCCCTGGGGAAACATAAGATTTGTCCGCGAAGTTAACAGCCCGTTGCATCATCCTACATCATATTTACAACACCTTAAGATTGAGCATTGCGGTGAAATACATGGTCAGCGCGTTGCTGCCATTGAAATGATTCAGTACGTTCCTGATCTAAGTTTTTTGACTGTTCTCAATTGCACAGCAGGTTGTATCAAAGTATGGTTTCCAGAAAAGGAGGTTCTCATAACGAACAGTTCTTTCGTGAATTGCGGGGGCAGTGGAACTGAAATAATCAACACTGAACAAAACGTTACTATTGAGAGCGTTAAATCGGTAAAGAATACTTATGGATTGCGTTTCACAATACCAAACGGGGATTGGATGCATGGTCTATCGTACGGACAAGTTTATGTGTGTGGTTCGGAAAAACTAGTCAACATAAAGGATCGCGCAGTATTCCTATACTTTAGAAAACAAATTGGGACTTATTCAAATCCAAGTGTATCTTGCTCCGTTTCTGTTTATTCACAAGGATATTATGGATATCATGTTCAGATGCTAGTGATGAAAAATGTGCGACATGTGTCGATTTCTAACATTAGACATGAAGTGTTAAAGTTTTCCCCTAAAGATTTAGGTCCATTGTCAAGACGAGTGATTCCGTGGAATCATATTCGAGTTGACCTTGAAGGCTGGTTCCAAAGTGAGATGATTTTACGAGTGGAACCATTTGAAAGAAAGGGTACGTTATCGTTTGAACTACAACGTAGAACAAACTTGAACGCATTGTAAACAAATCGATTTCTTCACCGTTCAAAGATTGTTGGTGAATTTTAATTTATTGACTTTGTCGTACTTCTGGTAATGGCTCTCCGTTTTTTTTAAGTGTCGATTTGAAGATTCAACCATAAAAACCTGATTATGTTTTGTGTAACGATCTCGTGTTGATTCTTATCTAGAAACTCAGATGGCATTTTTATACCTTGTCCAACATGTTTATCTTATGGTTAAATGTCTCCTAGATATTCCTTGCACATTTGAAAGAGGTCTGTGTGGATGGAGAAATTATCCCAGGCCACTCTATAGAGGCGTTGCCCTTACTCAAAAATGGAGGTTGGCTGGCATCCCGTGGTACTACGGATCAGTTGCTGACCACACCTTTTTATGGGAGAGTGGTAAATAAATTGTGGAATGGTTGTTTTGATACAAGATTATTCACACATTGATTTAATCATTTGAATTATCCTCATTATCTAGTTCTTTCTGATGTAGATCACATCAGAGCAACTGCATCTTGAGATATTCAAGAATGCTCTATTATTTCCGAGTTTCACCCTTAAAACAAGTTGCTTCCTTATTCAAGTACCAAAAAATTGGCAACGAGTCAAAATATCTATGATCCCTTATCACTCTTTTGCTGGTCAATCTATACAATAGCAAAAGGACGAGAAATGCTTTACTTTGTTTTGTACCACTATTTCAGGAACTTGCATGATGCTTGGAGCCTCTTACTGGAGAGAGGGTTATGGAGCCTCCATTAGTCCACCAATTTCCAACGACAGCAACTACTGTTACCTAGTGTTCTATTACCAACTCTGGAGAAAAGGAAGAGCGAACCTAACCATCTCAATTGAAGAATCGAATGAAAATAAGTGGACAATATTATGGTCTTCCAACGACACCGTGGACTACTGGAAAAAAGAAGTTATTACGCTTCCCCAGACGTCATTTAACTACTCTATCGTCTTCTTTGGGTTTTTCCAGTCCCATGGCCATGTTGCCATAGATGACATGGACTTAATTCAATGCGGTCTTTGTAAGTTATTACATATTATCTCATGACCCCTCAAAATTTTTTGCCCGCGCGCGATTAGTCTAAACGCGCACGTGACCAAACATCCCCTAGCTAAAAATGGGTGATATCCGTGAGTATCACTTAAGCGATATTCCCCAATTTTCAAACTTTACTTCCGTTATGATAAGTCTTCGTCTCAAATTTAATTCAAGATGAAAGAGGGTTTTCTGTTTGTTACAGAGGAACATTAAGTTATAACACACAACCCTAAAAATAAAAACAGCCAACGCTGCATACAGTATGCTGTTTGCAAACTTTTTTTTCGCGCGCGTTGCAAAATACTTGAAGGACAATAAATGCAATAGCCTATCATTTGCGCGAAAATATGTGCAGATATTTTTCGTTGGACATTATTTGTTCCTCAAAGACCACAGTTTCCTCGATCTTCGCTCTTGGAAAACTGTTGGCATCTTGAAACAGATAGTGTCCGCTAACAAATATCTAATCATATTTTCGCGCCTAATAAAGGCTATTGTTTTTGCACTTCCTAGTCGTCTCGTGACAAACACCGCGTGAAAAAAACATGTTCGTTTATTGGGACTCGTATTACAAACTTCTTTAGAAAGCGGCGCACAAACTTCCAGTGAGTAAATCCCCGCTACTGTTGTTCATTTTCTTCTAATAAATCCGAATTTGTAAATAGAGTAAGAAAGATGATAACCTTTGAGCTCGGTAAAGATACAGAGAAAGATGTTTTTCGTCTTGTCACGAGCGTGGGACAAAGAAAAAATTCTGATTCCCCATGAGGAATCGAACCTCAGACCTTCGGACTCCGCGTTCCGATGCTGTACCACTAAGCCACAGGCCTCTGTTGCGAGGTTCATATGACACGCGTCCTGCATACTGCTAGGACTAGCAATGTCGATACCATAATGTTTGTAAATAGAATAAGGGAGATGGTAAATTTTCAGAATTTTTTCTTTATCCCACGCTTTTGACAAGACGAAAAACATCTTTCTCTACACCCGAATTTGTTGTTTTATTTTTGTTTTTTATTCAGCACCTGAAGTCATGCATCGAGTGTCTGAGAGTGTTTTCAATAGCAATGATGAACAAGGAATAAGTTACGTGTCAAACCGGAGTAAAAGCCATATTCTCAAAATAGAGCGTTGTCAGATTACAAACAATGGTCTGAGTCTAGTCTTCAACGGAAAGCCATCTGGAGCCATTCATCTTAGTGCTATAAATCAGGTGTTTAAAATAGTCAATAACTACTTGGCAGAGAACAAAAATGGAGCTATTTTTTCCAGCGTCCTCCATGAAGATCCACCTACCGAGCCAAAACTAATTAGCCAAATTCATGCAAACACATTAGAGTCAAATAATGGAGGGACATTAATTCTGGAAGGAAATTCCGAGCCCTTTTTGAACGTTAACGTTACTGATAACTATTTTTCTCTCAACTTGGCTCAAGATTGGAATGGCAAAGCAAACAGTGTTTGCAACATAACAAGGTTATTGGCGATTGTTCGCGGAAATTTCTTCTACAAGAACATCGGTCACTATGTTTTCTTGTATGATTTCCCTAAAAAAGATGTGACAGGTCTTCAATTTGTGAATAACACGTTGTATAAGAATAGTGCATCGGGGCTCAATGTCAAGTATGGGGCAACAATACTTTGCAATGGTGGAGCAGAAATCCATGGAAACGTTTTACAGAATCCTGGAAACCGCTATCAGATAAGCACAACAATGCGAGGGAGTCCATTAATTGCTAACGCCACACTCAATTGGTGGGGAGAGAGCAAGCCAGATTTCATCGCCTTCCTCATTTTGGATAATAAGAAAGACTACCGTCTCTCGTTAACAGTGGTGTTTCAGCCATTTATCGAGTTGTTGCCTCGTAGAGTTATTTCTGGTAAATATCATTCTTTGCGTTGATTAGTATCAGTCATTTTAAGAATTTGTTTATATCTTCCATATGACCAAAGTTGAACCTCACTCCCCTCCGTGGAGCTTATCTCCCGAAAATTTAAATGATAGCCGAAGGGAGGGGGGGAGGAGACTTATTTCAGTGGGGAACTTATTCAAAACCAGCCATAGATCAATGTTTCGGTGAATAAAACGTGGTGATATGAGACTTCGCCTGAACAAAATCAATCTAGATGATACTAAAAGAGTTCCTTAAGTATTAATACGCCCGATTAAGAATTATCGCAAAAGTATAGCTTTGAAACAGCGGACCACTTGGGTATTAACTTCCGAAACAATAACAAGGTGCACCAGCTACAGCAGTGAAAAAAAACAAGTAATTTCGGTGGAGGATCATTCCCCACAAGATGGCTAGTAAGCAGCCGAACCCATCGCCCAGGGAAAACTAGCGTCTGAGAAAAGAAGAGACCACAACCAAAGATGACAAACAATGAAAACATAGAATCAAGATTTTGATATTATCTCTTCGTGACCTTAGTTCAATTACACATTTTAAATCAGGTTGATGATAAAAAATTTGATGCTTTTCAGAGTCATGCCCACCTGAGTGGATTAAAGAAGATGAGATGTGTTTCCTGTATAAGGGAGGCTCTTTCACTTTTCATGAAGCCGAGAAGTATTGTTGGGTAAGCACATGTGAGATACGAACCAAGGATTGATCAGCATTCTACTCTTCCTCAGTGTCATCGAGTTACTCTTCTAGCTTAGTCAAGGTTGTATGTTTTTTGTTAGCTAAGCTTTTTATTAACTTATTAAGGGGCTGTTGCACTGCTGTTTGGCTGGCTCACGTAAGGACAATCAATGATAAGATCATGCTACTTTCAAATTCTCTAAGGAAGGAAAAAGGGTTCCCTTCTATTATTTTACGTTTCCAATAACATCCTTCGCTTCTTTCTCTATTCATCACTTCTGAAGAACTATGGAGGAAATCTCATAACTATGTTATCGGCCGAAGATAAACGACTCGTCCAAAGTTTAAGGCAAAAGGAATCCTTGGTTCGTCCTGATGTTTTGCCTTCTTTGTGGATTATGAGCAGGCGTTTCGTGAGAGAGGTGAGGGAGAAACAAGTAAAATCGCAACAACAACATTGAAGTGATCTTTAATTAAGAAAAACAAGCTCCATAGAGTAATAAATCGATGAATGAATGAGTAGTTGCTCCCCCACTCCTTGGTGAAGAGAGATGCTCAGATATCCGTCCGCGGCCATTATCATTATGTGATTTAAGAGCGAACAGCTTTTGAAAAAGAAGTTCTCATGGAAATCTGTGAGTTTCTAGGAACAGATAATCTCCAAAGATAAATCGGGGCCGACAACAAACTGTTGTTCAGGGAATGAGCCCTGGAATTTATTCAGCGGCAAGAATCGAGCGCAGATAATTGTGGAGTCTTCTTTGTGTATTACCCTTCACGCACTGTTGGTGGCGCGCAGGATAAAAACTCCACGAAAACCATAATATGATCGAAAACAGTTTAGCCTCTACCATCATTATAAGTTTTTCATTATCACTGATATTAAAAACCGATTATTATTGTAATTATTATAACCAATCTCAGGCTTCATTTCAAGGTTTATTTCCTGCGTTTGAAATTCAATCGCATTTTGCACAACATAGGAAAGAAAAATACTCCTTAGATATGATTCAGTACATTTCAACTTTTTGGTTGCAGCTTGGAAGCAGTTCTGCTCAGGACAACGGAATGTGTTCTGTTGTTGATAGCTATGGGAATATTACAGAGTCTCATTGTAACCAGCTTAATCCATTCGTTTGCGTGAGGAGACCAGGTAGGTGACGTTGGATCCATCCTCTAATTTTTTTCCACATCAGTAGGCGTATCAAACCATTTCTGCTTTGACGGATATCCTGTGATAACTGTTAATAGCAGACAGACATAAACAAAGCAGTTCTTCAAGATATATTATTTTTCTCATGCAACTGACTTAGAATTGGGTTTCTGAACTTCTCTTACAGTGGTTCACTGTCCAAACAGTTGTTTTCATAATGGCGACTGCATAGGTGCCACCTGTTTCTGTTACCCCGGATGGACCGGAGAAGACTGTTCCAAGTTTCATTGCCATGACTTACATAACTGTTCTGGTAACGGTGAATGCATGGGTCCTAATGTCTGCAGATGTTACCCAGGTTATTTGGTGAGCATTTTTTATTAGTAAACGATTGAAAAAGGGCTTGAATCCTATTGAAGTCGATGTTAACGATTACCATCAAAAGAAGTGCTGAAGTCTCATTGAAATGGAATTTATTTTTTAGATATCGCATCAACTTATTTATTTTTACTAAATTTGTATTTACTTAAGATTATACATGCGCATTGTGTGGAGGAATTTCTTGTTTTAGTCTTGGGCAAAATTGTTTAATGTGCATAACCCTGTAACACCCATAAGTGACTAAGAGAGAATTTCTCCCTCCAAAATCCATACAATTTCAAGTAATGAGAATAAAGGGAAATCAATTAGGGGATTATCAGTTGATCCAGTAACAAATTCTCAGAACTAAAATCATAGGAATTGTACTGCAGTCAGTAAGGAGAATTACTAACGAGATCTTGGGAGTAAAAGGGTTAATCTTTTCTAAGATTGTTCATCACATAAACATTGATTCTTTTGCAGGGTCTTGGATGCACTTACTCCTTCTGTGGAAAGTACGAAAGCTGTGCTGATTGCGTGACAGACCCATCATGTGGATGGTGTGACAGTTCGCGGTCCTGCCTTGGAGGAGTTGCTGAAGGACCTCCGAAGATAGAATGTCCCGATTGGTTCTATTACCACTGTTATACGGTGGAAGACGGGGAATGTTCACGGGATATAATGGTAAGTGGAAAAGAGGGGGAAAGGAGGAAAATACTTATAGTATATGACTTTTTAAATGTTTTTTTTAATAACTATGTTATGCGTGTAGAGTGGTATTTTGCTCGCACCAATCAGATCGCCGCATTTGGGTATGTGTATGGCACCAATCAGATTGCTGCATAAGGGTATGTAACAGATTGCCGCATTAGGGTATATATATCTTGTACCAATCATGTCACAGCATTTGGATATCTTGCACCAATCACAACGTTTGAGTATTGTTTTCTTGCAAATGGAGTCATGGAATCGGGGGCTGTGCACAAAGAATGATATTAAGCAAAAATTTTGGGCTCATTTGAAAAGAGTAATGGTTTGTGGCCTTCGCAAGAACCTCTTTATTAATGTCGATACTTACCGGGATATGAAAGGCTCGCATTTAACATTTTGTGTCATTTCTAAGTGAAAAACGTGTCTTTTCCGCTCCTTTACCCACAACGCACACGCCAAACAACTTACATTCCAGTACGTACCATGAAAACAATGTCCAAGGTCCAATAAGAACGTACCCAATCATTGCACAACATGAACATCAGCCAATCAAGGAGTCCTATTTGAAATATCAGTTATCTTTTTCACTTGTTCGATGTATCTTCACTTATTCGAGATGGCAATAGACCTTTGGTTAGGGTATAATGGAGATACAACAGAGTCTCAGTTCGCTTTTCGTAGCAAGAGTACGCGGAATTGTATTTTTGAAGCGAATAATTTTGATTTTCTCTCTGTTAGGGGAACGGCAGTAAGCGTAGTCCCTTTCGTAACCGTTACTTGGCCTCGTCACGCAACGCGCTCTCTCTCCCGTGGGAAATAGATGGCGTTGTGTGACAAGACCAAACAACAGCTGCGAAGGAGACAACAGTAAGCGTGGCACCGATGCATTTTATTTTTGCTTAGAAGTATTTAGACGATGGAGACAATAGACCACAAAATGCCTATGCTGGTCTAGGTAAATTAGGCTTTTTTTTCCTTTCTCTTAAATTGAAAGTTATGCTCTTTTTCTGATACAAAATGTAAACATATGGTACTCAAAGTATCCCATCTTAACCCACCAAGCCAAAAAATAACTTTTGCATGCTACGTATGCCTATGTTTTAGTATGTCGTTAGAATATATGAGCAATTGTTTCTGAGTGTGATAGTGTTTTGTGCTTTTTGGCAATTCAGTGTTGTTGCTGGGAAACAAACCTTGGATAATAATTTTGAGAGGGACGTCCCTTCATCACATACATTGACCTAATCTCAATATTAACCAATAAAAAGTACTCTCGTCTAATGTCCTATTACACCAACACTGATCTGCCTGATTTTTTTTTCCAAATTTTGTTAGTTACATGCCAAATTGTTCTTTTGACAGACAGTAAAATGTAAAGGAAAGCAGTGCAACTACGAAGACAGTGGAACAAGTATTGAGTCATGTCAGAAGTGCCAAGACCTGGAAAAATGCCACAAACTCACAGTAAGATATATGCATAGATATTTAAATTATAAAAAGGTTGGGGGAATTGTTCCATTTAGAACTTTCACCAGCAGTTCAAAAGACGGAATGTTGGTAGCAATTCCACTTTACGGTTTCCAGATTTTCATTCATTGTTATCCTTCTTAAGAGAGACCGAGAATCATCCCTCGTCGTTTGATGACGCAGAAGTTGGTTTTAAAAAGCAGTCTGGCAGACAAAGTAATAACTGACCGTACATTTTGATTTTGTTAATAGGAAGGAGGCCAATGTAGGGCTTGGAATGAGACCCGCTGTCCCGGTGGGAAAGTGAAAGTAGATTATACAGATCCCGAAAGAAGAAACAACGTGGAACTGGCTGATAATTTGAAACTCGTGGAGCCCAATGATACTATCATTTATGCATGTCCAGTGATTATGGCGAAACAAGATGAATTGTCGCTAATTTTAGTTGCACCAAATGTTCTGGACATCCAAGCAGGCGACATAGTTTCCAGTCCACAAGCAGGAGGCATTCTGCACAAGATTGTGAACGAAGTCAATGATGGTAAGTATTCAGCTGCTCATCAAGGGTAAGATTCAATTAAGAATTTTTTCATGCTTAGCGTGCGTATATCGAGTTATGGGTGCACGTGGGAAGTTTGGAGAGCACGAAAAATGCGTAAGAGTAGCTCGAGACGGAGCAGAGAGCAACTCTTGCTTTTTGAGTGTTCTTCAAACTTG